CAGTAGAAACTGCCACGCCCCTGAAGGAGCCGACGGAGACGCCAGCCGCCTTTGCTTGAGAATGTAAGACATGGCCGCTTGATTGTCCATTTCTAGACTAACCACATGGCCCTGCACCAACACCCGAAGCACTCGAACACCCTGCGGACTGCTCTCAGTTCTAACACATTGATGTGTAGGCTGATTCTTCCCGCTCCCACCAGAGGCCGGAGGCTGAGTGCTCGCCCAGGACCCCCAACCTGTGAGGGAGCGCCCCGTCTGAACTGAGAGGGGAGGTGTCGGGTGTCGAGGGGATCCCCTGACAAATTCCGATATCCGCCCACCATCGCAAGTGAGGAATTAACCACTCGGGCGCTGTGAGAATAATCTCGTGAGCTCTGGCGAGTGGGGACTCAACAGCTGCGCTAACGCTTGCTGAACTGGTCGCATCCTCAGACGCGCACGCCAAACCACGTCCACTGTCGCCGCCATGTTGCCTAGCAACCGAAGCCATGTTCGGGCTGACGCATTGGGCGACTGGAGAAACTGTGAAACAGTACTCTGGACTTTGACGATGCGGTCCGGAGCAAGGGAAACAATCCCTAGCTCCGTGTTGAATCTGGCCCCCAAGAATATCAGATCCTGCGTCGGAACGAGGTCTGATTTCTTGAGGTTGATAATCCAGCCCAGTGACACCAGAGTATCCATCACGCACCGCACAGTGTGGAGGCTCTGCTTAACTGAGGACCTAAGGCCCTGAGAAGCCAATCGTCTAGGTACGGGTGACAACACCTGCCCTGAGACCTGGCTAACTGAGCTGGGATTAGCATAAGTTTGGTGAACACCCTTGGCGCCGTGGAGATGCCGAAGGGGAGCACGCTGAAACTGGTAGCACGTCCGGCCGAAGGAGAACCTGAGGTACTTCTTGAACTCGGGTGCATTGGAACATGGAGGTATGCGCCTTTGAGATCGATTGACGAAGCCAATCCTCTGTCTCGACGGAGGAGATCACTGACCTGAGTGTCTCCATCCTGAAAGACGGCACCTCCAGTAACTGGTTCAACCCTCTGAGATTCAGAATGGGTCTGAACCTCCGGCCCTTTTGGTCACTAGGAAGTAGGTGGAATAAAACCCCTCTCCTTGTTGACCCACAGGAACCACTCGATGGCTGCCTTGTTCAGTAAGGACTGAACCGACGCACGGAGCTGGCCCCGCCTTTGTCAAGGGAGGTCGGCACAGGCAGTGCCGAACCCCCGAGAAGGACGGAGGATCTCGCCCACTGTGGCAAATGGCCATCCCTGAGTGTGGACAGGACCCAGGGATTTGAGGTGGCTGCCTCCCACTCCCGGAGGAATAGGGACAGCCGGGCCGCCGACAGGACGCGGTGGCAGGAGGCAGTGCACCCCCACAGTCGGCAAGTCTCCGCTTGCGTGAGTGGGGGGCAACAAGGGCTCTGGGGAAGAAATCAGCGGGAAGCCGGGGCTGGCTTCCCCCTGCCCCGAAAAGGCTGCTGCGCTTGAGCAGGCTTGCCCCTGCCTCTCGTGCGCCTGCTCCGCTTGGACTGCAAAGGGGCAGTCCACTTAGCAACATCCTTCGCCGGGGCAGAAGGATAAGCGGACACAAGCGGGGAAGGCCGTTGGCGAGGAGCGGAGGGCTGCTCCAACAAAGGCTTTGAAGGTAGAGACAGCCTCCGCGGCCTCCCTTACTACCTGCAATGCCCCAGGGAACAGGGAAGATCCCATGGTATAGGGCAATGGCAGGAGCGCTTCTTGTGTGGCCGGCGAATACCGCGCCACAGACAACCACAGGCGGCGCAAGCCCATGACGGCACCCATCATCTGGCTGGCACAGCACCGAATGCTATCCCGAGCCAGATGCGAGTGTATGTCCGTGAGCTGTCATGAGCACCGACCGATGAGTCGGCCACTGTGTGAGCCACCAGCTGTCCCTGCAGAGCAGACAGGTAGGCCGAGTGGACTGCTACTTTGATGTGCTGGGCCGCGCACCGGTAACATTCTTCGAATGACCGGTATGCAGCCTTCAGCGGCAGTGAATTAGCAGGAAAAGGGGGGAGGCGCCTGCCCTGCCTGGCCGAGGCCAGGGAAGACGAGGACGACCCCCCTAACGTGACTGAGGCAAAGACGCACTCGTCCACCACTGGTGGTTCGAAGAGCGTCTCCTCACCTAACTGGTACCGCCTGCCGACGTCCGGCAAATCAAAACGCGAGCGAGTACCAGTCAGGAGAGGATTCACCACCTCACTTACCAGTGATGGGAGAATGCGTAGGCGTGCCTCGGCAACCCGGCTAGGCGCGAACGCCTCCCCCGGGAGCCGAAACTCCGCGGGGTCGGGCGCCTGAACGGGAACAGCCACCTGTGGCAGGACTTCGGCGAGCTTATCCCTAACCTGCCGCAGGGACGAGGCAAAGGAGTACGGCACTCCCGCCTCCGACTCCTCCCTCCCTTCCTCATCCTCCATATCTACCTCGGCATAATCCTCGGCCGCCATACTCTCAGACTCCTGAGAGACCGCCGAGGAGATGCCAGAGGCAGGACCAGAAAGACTCATAAGGTCAAGAGGAGCCAGAGGAAAAGCATCGCCCTGCCGGGTGGAACCCGCGCCAGGTCGCCGAGGCGCCCGAGAGGAACCTGCCGAAACAGGCTTCCCGGGCAACCCAGACTGGCTGCCAGGCGCCGAGGTATCCCCGAGCTGGTCGGCGCCTAGGCGACCGCCAGTCGGGGCACCAGGCAATGACAGGGGCAAACCTGTATCGCCGGCGCCAGGCACCTGTGACAGACCAGAGCATAAAGCCAGGTCGCCACCAGACGCCGAGGGCGTGCTATCCCCACGGCCTAAGCCGGGATCAAGCCGCCCGGGGGGAGGCGCGTTCTCCGAGCCGAAGCTCGGGCCGCAGCCAACCCCCCCAGATGTGTCAGATCCGCCCCCGACGACCGGCGCGCTGAGCTCCTTACGGAACCCCGCTAACGCCGTATCGATCAGGGACTTTACTGACGACATCTGCTCCTGAAATAAAGCGGTTAAAGAATCAACAGGAACTACTGGTGCTGAAGCAATAGGGGGGGTGGCGGTAACAGACACGGTAGCAGTAGGAGAAGCAGAAGGGGCATGCGTGCCTGAAGACGAAGCCTCCTTGGTCACCTTAGCTTTCTTGGGAGCCGGCTCCGTATGGGAAACGGCTCCCGCAGACCCCTTTTTTTTACTATGGGAGCGCTTGGACGGGGGATCCTGTGCCCAGATATCACCCCCCGCCCTAAGCAGATTGCTGTAGAACAACCGGTCTACCCGCCGTGCCCGAATGGTTTGGGGCGTAAAAATGGCACATGCCGAACAGCCCTCTTCCTCATGATCCGCCTGAACTAGACAGCGTAAGCACGCCTCGTGTGTATCCCGTACAGGAATGGCAGCAAGGCACGAAGTACAGGATTTAAACTGCAACAAGTAAAAAACCTGTGCAGCAATCCCCATACCCACATACATAAACATGAAAAAAGACGCATGGGCAACACAACTCATGCGACAAACGTAGCATGCAGTTGACAATAACATAATACACGCTGCCGCATAACTAACAATTACGACTTTTAGCGTAAGATAGAAAAATGCTAGCAGCGGACACACGCCCTACACGTACAAAAGATAAATCACTAAAACCACCTGTAACATTGAGAAAACACATGGAAACCAATGAACAGGAAGGCTAGCGACGGGACCTGTCCGCCATCTTGACACGCACCTGGCGTGCCGACCGCGACAGGTACCAAGTTACAACTAGAAATTATGAATGAAAAAATTCAGAAAAAAACTCCAATTCGCCCATGCAGGGAAAAAAGAGAACCATACATACAGTTGCAGTTTCTGATACACTCATAATTGTCGCAGGGAAAACCTTCTTGTATGGACCCACGTCTTGTCGGTACAACGACAGCATGGAAAGTGAGGTACGAGGTTACGGTCTAGAGTTACCTGCTCTTGGCTGTAGGGGGCCGGAGGGCCCTGTAAGGGTGGTCTCACAAGACAAAAACGTAGTTTTTTGTTTTGTAAATATTTTTATTCAAATATTGTTACAACTGTCGTAGGGAATTTAAATGGACATTTAAATGCTTATAAGTACCACAAGGAGGAATATATAAAAAAGAATTAAAGATTTTAACCTACAGAATAATTCTCACTAACGGGTTTTGTGGTTAATGTTGAACAACTCAGAGAAACAAACTCCGTATGATGGTTAACCGTTGGCACCCACCTTACCCTATTCATGACCTGTCACACCTCTTCATACCTGTCACGTGCATAGCTGACCTACATTGACGAACGTTGACCTTTATGACCCAACACTGCCGCTGTTACAGGTCATTGGCTCCCTCCCTCTGCAAGCATTCTGCGTTCTGCTGTTTATTTTGTTGACAGTTACATAGACAGATTCTTTAATACAAATGCATAAAATCGGTGATTTACAATGTGATTAGGTTGTCTGACAAAACATCCACTTGCACAGTTTGAGATCGATTGGGTCATTGGATGAAGAGATATTTACAAAAAACCGGGTCCACATGCATTTCATGCCAAACTATACATGACAGTTACCGGTAAATAACCGAGTTAGGACCAGACAATCCAGTGATTGATATCATAAGCAAAACTTCAAGCTGTCAGGGAACACAGATATGTCATGAAGCAAGTCACCGAGTCCGACCAACTAATATATTAATTCATTTACAAGGACCAGTAAGGGTTGCTCGGGGCTACTTCTAAATACACAAGAGCAGACAATCCAGTGTCTGACATTTTGTCAGGGTACATGCTGTCAACCAAGTCACTAAGTCTGACCACACACTTTTCCTAGGACCCAGTTGCCCCAAAACCAATTCTACACAGAATCCCCATGGGATTCAACAAGTAATAGACTAGGACCTATTCCCCCTGAGTCCCTAGCGAGACACACTATGTGTGGATGTTGTACCCCCAGGGACTGACTCGACTTCATCAGGTGGCCTCTCACCTCTCCTCCATTCACAGTGTTGGTCATGTCCTGCTGGTACTGGTTGGGATCCAGCCACACCCGGAACGTCCTCGTGTCCCCCTTTAAATCTGGCTTGGGCTCCGGACCTATAGGGAACAACAATAATAGTGAGTGAGTGAGTGAGTTTAGTTTGAAGCCGCTTTGAGCAATATTCCAGCAATATCATGGCGGGGGATACAAGAAATGGGCTTCACACATTGTACGCATGTGGGGAATCGAACACGGGGCTTCGGCATGATAAGCGAACACTTTAACCACTAGGCTACCCCACTGCCCAACAAGAATAATAGTAACCAACACAACTCAAACAGGATCTGTTTACTGGCACTGTTCTTCCAAATACTCCATATCACTCACAGCACCACCCATGCTTGTACAATATCCCACTTTATCATGGTAAAATACCAAAAACTCATTCCATAGCTTGTCCAATAGAATTGCAGGAGAAATTATGTGTTAAGTCAGAAGAGAAGGTGTAGAAGAAGCTTTTGAGTGTACTTCAAAAATGATTCCATGGTGTTAATCATGTTCAGGGAATATATTACTAAAAGAAGGAAAAGAACATCTGATTTTATGTGACTAACGTTAATTTGTCATGGCTAGTAAATACTGAAACACATAGACTTCAAATTGTCATTTATCTTTCATAAGTTTTAAGTTGTATGGATCATAGTGAGTGAGTGAGTTCAGGTTTAGAGTCACATCAGCAATATTGCAGCCATATCGTGACTATAACAATATATACTTTGATAATAAATAAAAGTTATTTCGTAAAATCTGTCAACAAAGGACAGTGTATGGATCATAACAGAGTGGAGATTGACTCCCTTGGATAATTATATATTATGGATGTGCACTACTGCGTATCAACACTGAAAACAGACGCACTGTAACCGTAAGTAGTGGCTATTCTTGCCACATCATTTCCACTGTCTGAAGACCTCGTTAGGATGAGAAAGCCACAATAACTCGGTGCGCGTCTAGTGGCTGCCAGAGTTGTATACTCCCCAGGGAGTTGAGATTGATAATGCGATGTGCCTTTGAGATTGACATCTAATGATCGAGGGAAAAAATACCAGCGCCTTGAGCATGCACTAGTGCGTGGATATGTGCGCTATATAAATATCCTATAATAATAATAATAATAATAACAATAATAATAAAAAGATGCTCATACTCACCCTCCTCAATGACTTTTCCTGCATCGTCCAACATGCCCTCTATCTCACAGCCCCGGACGTAGGCCAGGCCAACCTGTGGGATGAAGGGTTCTTTGTGTCGGTACTGGTATCCGATGGATACTGAAGGACGCAGTGTCACCAGGAAGGCCACGTCATGCTTCCTCAAACCTGGTAACAAGACCATGCAAGTGTTCAGTCAGATATAGGACAGTTAAGCATGTTAAGTAAGGCTGTGGGGTTTAATGTATTAACCAGAAATAAGTTGAGCGCTAATATCGCTTTTGGGAACTGAGACCTGATCCAAGTCAAAATGCATCAAGCCACTGTACTGTTTCTCGTGACAGTCATCTATGTCTGCAACACTTGAATTATCTCCTCTAGTAATTTACCTAGGTTAATCATATAATTTGAGGACAAAAGCAAGATTGAGACACATATGCAGTGAGCCAGGTAGGGTGTGTGTGTGTGTGCACTCACTCACGCCAAAAAAATCCTCTGATATCACTCACTCACTCTCTCTCTCTCTAACTCTCTGATATCACTCACTCACTCACTCCAGATGTTTTACCTTCCCACTCCCATTTGACTTCTGGCCTGACACTCAGGTTGAGGCTGATGTCTGCTCGAACCTGGGCTGGATGGTTTTCACCAATCAGGGGCTTGGCAACCTGTAAAACAAACCATGGACTTTACATGATTGGCCAGCCCCAATACTCAGTGTGCCATGATTGTTCCACTAAACAGACATTAACAGCCTGGGAGGAAATGCTTGTAGTGAAATATATGTGATAACATCCACCAGTCAGATGCGCTATGTCTTATAAACCACACTTCATAAAAAACAAGTGGACAAGACGTCAATAGTGTGGCAATTCTATATGCAGAGTTGTGTCCCTTTAACATACTGTAAATTAGGATCGTAAGACTTGGTCATGGGTTTGATCCCCAGAGTTAGTCCTGATAAAGTTCAGGGGGTTTGTTAGCACCACCTTTAGGCCTGTAACATGGCGGGTCTACATACCCCCAGGCTTAGTTGCCTAGAGGTCCCCAGTTAGCTGTACAGAGTTGCGTCCCTTGGGCATTTCCGACGCCTATGATTGTAGGTTCCAATCCTGGTTCGCCATGATTACGTTTCACTGTAAATTTCGAATATTTCCTTGACCATGTTCAGGGGAATAAAATCGGCATCTTTGTATGAAATCCATGACACGTTGTGAATGGAATGGTCGTTATCTTAATTTAAATACAATTGTACAAAATGGTTCCCAAATAATACAGTTCCCAAACTGGAATATCGCCTACTGTTTGTAACAGCATATTCACAGGTACATTTACAGCAGGTAGACTTACAGCAGGTAGATTTACAAATCACAAACCTCCACAACACTGAATGCAGCAATAGGCTGCGCCATTCTTGCCCAGCCCCCAAACAAACAATGACCATCTTCTGCTCTCCTGAAATGAAAACAAAGAAGTTCAGAATTTCGGTTCTGAAATTATAACAACAACAACAGTTCCTTGGCTTAATGTTTAATGTCCATTCTGCAAATACCTTCATGTTGACTACAAACTTATGTTGGTATCCCAAAGGAACAGGCTGATATCCTTGCAGGAAATTCCTTTCAATCCAGACTTTGCCCCTTTAGTGCATGTACAGTACCATTAATCTAGATGAAAACATTTTCTGGACTGACAAATAATGGCTGCTTAGTAATGACCCTTTATATATTTAAATGCCAGGGGCAGTGGGGTAGAGTAGTGGTTAAAGAGAAGGCCCGGGGTTCACTTCCCCACATGGTCCAATGTGTGAAGCCCATTTGTGGTGTCCTCCGCTATGATATCGCTGTAATATTGCTAATAGCGGCGTAAAAACAAACTAACTCACTCATTATTTAAATGTCATAATGCAATTTCTATTTTATTGCCATTTTACCTTTGTGAAGAATGCAGATATCAGCTGTGAGATATCTACAGTGATACATCCAATCTCACTATCAACAATAACAAGCATCCCCCGCCACAAATCATCAGATCAAACTTAAAAAGTAATGAAAGTTTCAGATGAAGATAAATGTCAACAAAAACATGACCAGTCAATCTCTCTTGATATCTTGCTGTTTAGTTGTTCAAACACACAAAAATTTTCAAGACTGACTTTGACCTTGACATGAATGTCATAGTGAATGAAATATGCATAAATGGTAATAAAAAATGGTAACATGCTGAAATCGTCAAAGTGTCTTTGTGACCTTGAAAATAAAGTGAAGGTCACCGAAATCGACTGGGCCTTGCATTTTCCCTAGATGAAACTTGACATCAAATATGAAGAATATCCAGTGAATGGTTCTTGAGGTATCTCGCTGACCATCTTACTATGCAGGTTTAACATACTGAAATCTTCAAAGTGTCGCTGTGACCTTGAAAAGTAAGTGAAGGTCACCAAAATCGACTAGCCCTGTGCCTTCCCTAGATAAAGCTTAATGTCAAAAATGAAGAAAATCCAGTGAATGGTTCTTGAGGTATCTCGTTGACAAGCATAACATGCAGGTTAATATGCTGAAATCTTCAAAGTGTCACCATGACCTTGAAAATTAAGTGACTGTCACCAAAATCGACTGGGTCCTGCACCTTCCCTAGATAAAGCATGGTGTTGAATATGAAGAAAATCTAGTGAACGGTTCCTAAGATATCTCGCTGACAAAAGTAAAATGTTAAAGTCCCCTTGTGGCCTTGAAATAAAGGTCAAGGTCACCAAACCGTCCTTATACTGTCATGAACCTAGGTACCAAATATGGAAAGAATCTAGTCAATGGTTCTTAAGATATTCAAATTTGTACGGACAGATGGACGGAACCTAATACTATATCCCCCGCTTCGCGCTAAACGTGCGGCGGGAGATAACAATCAAGATGTACCAGGAATCTTCAGTGATTCACCATAAAATGTCATATAATTTGTTGTTGATCACATAGGCTTGGATATGTTTCATTCTGTTTGGCAGCCTGACAATTCTGCAACTGAGTTGAGTTTCAACCAATCCACTCACCATGGCTTCATGTGTGACACTGCGTCTTCGATGTCCTGTCTGATTTCATCTGCAAATCAACAAACATTAAGTAATCACATACCAACCCATAATAATCCATAACAGAAACTAAGATGGCTACACATGCCCTGGTGAAGGTGTGTACATGAAATATTGGCAAATCCTGGCCAAGTAAGGATAAGGAAAATAAGTAGCTGTCAAGTACATTATGCACAGGGGTTCAAATTTTTTTTAAAGAGCCACTTGCCACAGGGCAAGTGACTTTAAGAAAGTAACTTGTCCTGACTAATTATCCACTTGCCCTGATTTTATGACATAATTATGATGATGTAATTATGAAAGAAGAAGTCAACATCGTATTTGATGTTAATGTTTACTGGACTATTTATTGAAAAGTGATAAATAGCAAAGAAAAATAACTCTACTTTATTATCATTGCGAAATTTAATAGCTACGTGGGCAATCAATCAATGTATTGCGGTTTTGAGCAGATATGAAATTAAATCAAAGTTTATTTGCAGTTTGAAACCATAAGTGGAAATTATCTAGTAGCCCACGGACAAGTAAGATGCCATTATTTGATAATTATGAAGAAGTCAACAATCGCATTTGATGTTAATGTTTACTGACTATTTATTGTGATAAATAGCAAAGAAAATAACTACTACTTTATTATCATTGCGAAATTTAATAGCTAATGCGGCAGATATGAAATTAAATCAAAGTTTATTTGCAGTTTGAAACCATAAAGTGGAAAATAGTAGCCCACGACAAGTAAGATACAATTATTTGAAATGAAAACTGACTTGTCCCGGCATCTCAATGAATGGGGCAGTGGGTAGATGGGATTTTTAACCCCTAATGCACCATCAGTCAACATATTCCTGTCAATATCTCAATGAACGGGGTAGTGGGTAGCCTAATAGTGTTCGCTCTTCATGCTGAAGACCCAGGTTCGATTCACCACATGGGTACAATGTGTGAAGCCACTTTCTGGTGGCCCCTGCTGTGATATTGCTGGGATAGTGCTAAAAGCAGAGTAAAAGCCACCTGCTGTGATATTGCTGTGATACTCACTCACTTAATTATCTGACAATCACAAGCACTAGAGAGGTAAGCCTACCAAATCCTTCATTCTGACAGCCACAGGGACTGGAGATCTGCAGCAGAATCCCCACAGAGATACTCACATGTGGACTCGAGTCTGAAGAGGTTGAAGTTCTTCAGGAGGTAGTCATGGAGTGTCAGGAACTGGAGGTTCAGCTTGGGCAGTGCCAGGCAGCCTGGAAACACAAAATAGATTTGATTGTCGTTACTAGCGTCACACTATGTTGGCAGCCTTCAATAATTGAGTCTGGACCAGACAATCCGGTGACTGATATGGTGAGGTTGCAGACACTGATGTTGGGACTCAGAAACTTCTTTGAGTCGGGATGGACACTATTAACAAATTCATGGATAACAACTTCTTCTCGTGAGCGTGACATTTCGATACAGACTCTTGTACCATTGTAAAGCAGGAGTGATACAGATTCTTGTACCATTGTAAAGCAGGAGTGATACAGATTCTTGTACCATTGTAAAGCAGGAGTGATACAGATTCTTGTACCATTGTAAAGCAGGAGTGATACAGATTCTTGTACCATTGTAAAGCAGGAGTGATACAGATTCTTGTACCCTTGTTGTAAAGCAGGAGTGATACAGATTCTTGTACCGTTGTAAAGCAGGAGTGATACAGATTCTTGTACCGTTGTAAAGCAGGAGTGATACAGATTCTTGTACCGTTGTGAAGCAAGCAGGACCGTTGTGATACAGATTCTTGTACCGTTGTGAAGCAGGAGTGATACAGATTCTTGTACCGTTGTAAAGCAGGAGTGATACAGATTCTTGTACCGATTTGTACCGTTGAAGCAGGAGTGATACAGATTCTTGTACCGTTGTGAAGCAGGAGTGATACAGATTCTTGTACCGTTGTAAAGCAGGAGTGATACAGATTCTTGTACCGTTGTCAAGCAGGAGTGATACAGATTCTTGTACCGTTGTAAAGCAGGAGTGATACAGATTCTTGTACCATTGTAAAGCAGGAGTGATACAGATTCTTGTACCGTTGTCAAGCAGGAGTGATACAGATTCTTGTACCATTGTAAAGCAGGAGTGATACAGATTCTTGTACCGTTGTAAAGCAGGAGTGATACAGATTCTTGTACCGTTGTGAAAACCATTACCGTAAAAGCAGGAGTGATACAGATTCTTGTACCGTTGTAAAGCAGGAGTGATACAGATTCTTGTACCATTGTAAAGCAGGAGTGATACAGATTCTTGTACCGTTGTGAAGCAGGAGTGATACAGATTCTTGTACCGTTGTGTGATACAGAAGCAGGAGTGATACAGATTCTTGTACCATTGTAAAGCAGGAGTGATACAGATTCTTGTACCGTTGTCAAGCAGGAGTGATACAGATTCTTGTACCGTTGTAAAGCAGGAGTGATACAGATTCTTGTACCGTTGTAAAGCAGGAGTGATACAGATTCTTGTACCGTTGTGAAGCAGGAGTGATACAGATTCTTGTACCGTTGTGAAGCAGGAGCAGGAGTGATACAGATTCTTGTACCGTTGTAAAGCAGGAGTGATACAGATTCTTGTACCATTGTAAAGCAGGAGTGATACAGATTCTTGTACCGTTTTGTCAAGCAGGAGTGATACAGATTCTTGTACCGTTGTCAAGCAGGAGTGATACAGATTCTTGTACCGTTGTAAAGCAGGAGTGATACAGATTCTTGTACCATTGTAAAGCAGGAGTGATACAGATTCTTGTACCATTGTAAAGCAGGAGTGATACAGATTCTTGTACCTAAATTGTAAAGCAGGAGTGATACAGATTCTTGTACCATTGTAAAGCAGGAGTGATACAGATTCTTGTACCATTGTAAAGCAGGAGTGATACAGATTCTTGTACCATTGTAAAGCAGGAGTGATACAGATTCTTGTACCATTGTAAAGCAGGAGTGATACAGATTCTTGTACCATTGTAAAGCAGGAATGATTTACTAACATCAAGGTAAAGAAACAGAGCCCTTATTCTCGAAACGTTCGTAGCCCTACGAATTCGTAATTTTGATCGTAGCCAATGTGTTAAGAATGGGCTTAAGAAGTTAGGAGGGCTACGAAGGTTTCAAGAATAGCTAGCCAGGTTGACTTATGAGTCCTGTCATTGTTACAAGGACAGCAGTCATTCCAGACAAAAACAGATGAGAACTGTTGAAAGGGAATGCACTTCACATGCAGTTTTTTAAACTTTGTGGACTTTTCGGAGCCTATAGTTGAAAATGAAAGCCAAACTTTCAAGGTCAGTGACCCCCTAATTTGCTTTGATTATTTAAACACATTTAGAAATACAGTGGTATCTTACCTTCTCCTGAGAAGAACTCAGTGGGTACAATGTTCTCGTCCCAGATGATGTCTTCTGTTGGATACAGTGGCATGTCATTAATCTCCTCCAGCTGAGATGGGTGACGCTCATGTTTTGACACCTACCAGAACAGATGAATAACATGTCAATAGAAGAATAATCCTCTACCTGTACATGAACATTCAATTCCCACTGACCCATGAAGGTCCAGGATAGAATGAACTTTCAGTAACTCATGCTTGTCGTAAGAGGCGACTAACGGGGTTGGGTGGTCAGGCTCGCTGGCTTGGTTGACACATGTCATCGGTTCCCAATTGCACAGATTGATGCTCATGCTGTTGATCACTGGATTTTCTAGTCCAGACTCGATTATTTACAGACCACCGCCATATAGCTGGAATATTGCTGAGTGCGGCGTAAAACTAAACTCAATATTGCTGAGGTTTAACGTCGTGCTTGAGAATATTTTGCTCATATGACGAATGCATGCTAAACTCTTGTACTAGCCCAGACTGAAGCTGGGTTTATAGTTAGCCCACTGAGATACCACAGTGAAGCATGAATACCCCACTTATACTGACTCCGAGCCGACCAGTCCTTGCTGATGCGAAGCCAGACAGGGCAGCTATACCATAATATGACGCGGTCGGGGATAAATGAATTCCCACAGGAAATACTTTCTGTCAGATGCAGCTATCAAATATGATCTAAATGAGATCCGTGTCACACGATCTTCCAGAACAACTTGAAAACTTGAAAAGAGATTCTGAGATACTCTAGAATACTGCCGGAACACTGGGAGGTACGAAGAGAGAGTATTCCTTTAATACTGCTAAAATCAGCTAATAACTGAAATAGTACTGACATACACAACTGTTTACATTGAGAAAAAAAACAAGATTATTATGCACATAAGACAATGTGCAATCTGATACATTTACTGAATGTGGGACTCACCATGAGATGCAGCATGAATTCTGTGTCATACACATCCTTCTGGCCCTCCTCTGGGTAGGGGAGGTAATTCAGTAGGGCCAGGATCTTGTGCAGGTCCATGTTACTGTCAGAGAGAAAGAAGTATTGTTGAGTGAGTGAGTGAGTGAGTTGGGTTTTACGCTGCTTTTAGCAATATTCCAGCAATATCACAGCGGGGGACACCAGAAATGGGCTTCACACATTGTACCCATGTGGGGAATCCAACCCAGGTCTTCGGCATGACGAGCGAACCACTGGGCTACCCCAACGCCCCAGTATTGTTGAGACTATTGTTAGATCTGTGTTTGTACTGCACATAGCCTGTACATGTGTTCATGCAGCGATGTGCCTAAGTGCCAGGACTGCAGATATTCTTTAACTCATCATGCTCTCTGACTCCATGAAATATCCAAGCGACAATTTATCTATCCTGCTAGTTGTCAAAAATACCAGTATTATTCCAACATGGCTAAAAGTAACAGAATCCCATTGTTCCCTTCTGTGATATATCCACTCCACTCATTCTGGACAAAATATGAATGAAGGAAAACACACAGGGTCAATAAATTCCACAGCTTTCAAAAAGGCACAAACAGAAATCTGTCTATTTATATGTGACTGCCGTTCCTATTGAGATGAATAATTACACAACAATGACTCTGGAATCCTGTAATAGACACAGACTCAACAACAGAGAGAGACAGTGGTGCTACCTGAGAGGCTGGAAGTGTTTGAAGAGGTTCTGTCTAGTGTCCACACTGGCCACATTACAGATGGCAAAACTCTGCAGGTCAGGGTAATGTTGGAACATGACTTTCTGAAAAACAGGAGCAAGAATTGGATCAAATTAGAAAACAACAGAAAACAGACCATATCTATACAACAAAGGAAGGATGAGGACTATTTTTATGGATGTACAACTTCTTTATTCTGTATAAGTGACGTTTCGACATAGATTCTTATGTCGTTGTCAAGCAAGTGATGACACTTCTGATGACACTTGTGATGAAACTTGCTTGACAACGACATTAGAATCTATGTCGAAACGTCGCTTATACAGAATAAAGAAGTTGTATATCTATAAAAATAGTCCTCATCCTTCATCTACCCAACTTCTAGAATGCCAATCAAAGAAGATCTGTATAATATAACGAAGCTAATTCAATTTTCAGACTGCAGCTGTAATTGAGTTAAGAAAGACCAAATCTATTTTGTCAGCATCTGCATAAACCCCTTGAGGGGCCTTCCAGTATCATAGTCACAACATCTCATATTTTCAGATGCTTAGCAAGCATGTAAAAGATTTCCTGGTTCTGCAAATTTCTTCTGAAAGATTGATATTATTGTCATTATTTTCTTGAAAAATGTACATGGATCTAAGCACAGTGATCAAGTATTCTTTTAACTTAAACTATACAGATGAACTTTCATGACTTTAACAGATAAGGGGATGTTTTTGAGTAAAGGACTAGAAAGAGCTAAAGAGTTGTTTTAATAAGATGAGGAAGGGTTACCTGGAGTTTGGTGACCCGATTATAATGAAGGTCGATCCTGTCATGTACGGTCAGGGCCTCCCCAGTCTGCTCATCAATCTCGAAGCCACCATAGACTGCCAGCATGTCAAGGAGCTGCAACAAGAGTGAGTGAGTGAGTGAGTGAAAAGACAAACCAGTGATCAACATCAAGAGCATCCATCTATGCACTTGGGATACACTGACATGTGTCAACCAAGTCAGCCTGACCACCCAATCCCGTTTGATGCCTCTTAAGACAAGCATGGGTTGAAGACCATTCTAACCCAGAACTTCACAGGTATGGAGTGAGTGAGTGAGGTGGGAGGGATGAGTGAGTGAGTGAGTGAGTGAGTGAGTGAGTGCAAAAGCTTTTGATGCTACTGCCCTGACCGAAAGTGAGCCTTCAACCCCTCAGGGGAGAGCTTGCCCTTGAAAGTGCCTTCCGCCACCGTAACAACAACAGAACAGCTGGGTACCCGTGAGTGATATAGAGTACGGACATCCAGCGGTGAGTGCCGTGAGAGTGGTCCCGATGTGGAAGGCTGAGTGAGTGAGTGAATGATCGATCCGTGTGAGTGAGAACTTACATGAGACCCTGAGTGCTTTCCAAAGTTAACAACTGAATGGAAATAGCCGATAGGTGTGAGAAAGTTGGACCGGACAGCCAATCTAGCACAAGTGGAGTGAGCGCAGGTTGAATCCGTGAGTGAGTCGACAGGGGTGTGAAAAGTGGAAATAGTGTGGAGTAGCCACGTGAAATCAGGTTGAAGCCGCCAGGCCTTCTTCCAAGCGAGCTTGCAAAAACTACCAATACTGTGGACTCGAATCCCAGAAAAGGGTCTGCAATGCCCCTAATCTTTATCCTGCGTACTGAGCGTTTAACGAATCGCCTATTGTTCTGCAACTGCTGCAGGAAATAGGGAGAGGTTAGACCTGACAGAGGCCAAGGAACTGGTGGATTTGGGTGGAAGCTCCGTTCCGTGAGTGAGAAGTAATAGAACAGGAGGCTGAGCCAGAAACCTGAGAATTACGGAAACCAGCTCTGTGAGTGAGTAAGCGGTGCCAGTGTAGCGAGCTGGCTAATGAGGGGCGGAGGCATGAGTGACTGCCCGTCCAATCCAGAGGATCGAGCCGTAGCACCCTGGTGAGCCCGGTATCCGAGAGCAGAACACGGGTGTCTGATCGTCCCGCTGAGCAAACAGTCGAGAACTGGGAGGTTGGTTCTGAAAATCTGCCTGTCGAGCATCCCACTGCACATGCGGGGCCAGGATCCGCAAGAGCGCATCCAGCCCCGGAGATAAACAGGAGTACCTGACTTACTCGCACCAGAGAGAAAGAATGGGGACACCTGATTGGACACGAAGCCGCTGGTTGTCCAACTGAAGGCGGACTACCCTGCCCGCGGACAGGTTACCCCGTTGATGTGAACTTGCCCAGCGTATCCAAGGATCCCCCTATGAGGTGTCAAACCGGGGACTGTGAGACTGGCTCCAGATCCTCGTGTGAGTAGAGCCAAAGCTTGCTGTATAGGACGCATCCTCAACCGCCCACCACACTACAGAGATCGTCGCCGCCATATGGCCCCAGTAGAGCGGAGCCAAGTGTGCTTGGTGCCTGGGGCTGGAGAGATCTAATCGGCAGCTCCAAGAAAACCAAGTCCTGGGTGGGTACCAGGTCGGATTTCTTGAGGTTGATTATCCACCCCAGTCAGTCTATCACTGTGTGAGTAGCATCTAGACTCGCTGGCTGCGTGAGCAACCAGTCGTCGAGGAGTGGTTGATGGCAGAAAGGAGTAAGAGAACCGAAGGTACTGCTTGAACATGGGTCATGAATCACGCGAGGTCGAGGTGCAATGAGTGATGAGATCACACCGACGCAGTGTCTCCATCTTGAAGGAACCTTGAACAGATTCAACCCTTGAGGTTGAGAGCGGGGACAGAACCCATAACAATGTACGTGAGTGAGTTGGAGTTTTATGTCCAGCTTTTAGCAATATGTGGGCCTGGGAAAACCCAAGCAATATCATGGTCATGCCTGTCGGCCCATGGAAAACACCGAACAAAGTGAAAGCAAACAAGGCTTCACAGCAGCATTGTACCCATAGTTGGGGACTTCCCCGCCATCAGAGCAATCACGGAAAGTTCGGGCGTAATATAATATAATACAAACAATTATGAAACAACCAACTGTGACTGTTCCTTTTCATAGGCAAATAAAGAGGTGGTGCTCAGAGCATAGTCGCTTTAACCACTAGCTCATGCTACCCATGGCAGTGACAGCAGAAGGAATGATGATACGGGTCTAGGAGCCTACCCAGCATGCTAGCGGGAATAACAAACTGGCTGTGTGTATACATGAGTGATGGAGGAATATTGTGCATATGACACTGTGAAAGTCTTTATGATGGTGTTACTTTCAGGGTTGTCATGACTGATACTTTGTATTGCTATGAGAGTACTGTAGTTTGTGTCAAGCACTGACATAATGCTGATACGAAGTACAACACACTATGTCATGGAATGTACATGAAAAGTGAATATACTGAGGGAAACAAATAAGGGAACAGCTCTCCATTGCAGAGTTCCTTTATTTTTTCTCCGACTTCTACCCACAGTGCAAAACAAAGCCTTTAAAGAAACTTCGAAAAGAATAAAGGAATTTGTTCTTGTGTTCCCATATTGGTTTCTGTCAGTATGCTTAGGTAAGATATGGAGAAGTCATTATTGTGACCACCCATTTTTTTACCACCACTTTTGTCGGCTTTTCCAAATATTCATGGGTACAGGGGAAATCTGGAGAATACCCTAGCAATTGTTTTCTTCCTGAACCCTAAAACAAGTATGTCAATTACACACTGAATTACACATCTATCATTATAATTAACCAGGACCCATTCACTTACACAGCTTCCTTTGGAGTATTATTTGAATATTCTGCTGAGCAAGAGAAATGCTGTGATATAAATTAGAGTGAGTGATATTCCAATTCAGCAATATTCCAGCTATATGGCAGCGGTCTGTAAATAATAGAGTCTGGACCAGACAATCCAGTGATCAACAACATGAGCATCGATCTGTGCAATATGGAACCAATGACATGTGTCAACCAAGTCAGCGCCTGACCACCCGACCCAGTTAGTCGCCTCTTACGACAAGCATGGGTTACTGAAGGCCAAGATTCTAACCCGGACCTTCACGGGTACCCGGTATGCTAAATTAGAGAAAGGAGAATTGCAGAGTATATAGAACTATAGCGATATACATGGAGATTTAATACATTGTCACATCGAGGCAGTTGAACATGCAGAGAACTTGGTTCATCGTAAATCTGAAATATTAACTGACAAAACTGATGTTCTGTTACCTGTCCATAGAGCTTTCCCTCTTCTCTTTTCCCGGAGTTTGGAGAGTTTGCTGCGGACGATGACGTGAGCACTGTCCATGAGGAGATTGAAGAAACGGCGAGTTGGAAGCTGAGCTTCAATGTCGATCATCAGCTCCATGAATCGTTCACAGTACCTCACTTTTGTGTCATCCACTGGACCTAAAGCATGCAATCAATCAAATACTGATGCAACCTTTAAAGGCAATCTTTACTTGAAACCTGAGTTGCCAGTTTTTGTGACAACAATTCGATCTTACTGACAAGAGAGAGGTAAACCCTTAGAAGAAAAAATGTAATGAGATCATTTCAGAAGTCTGGAAGCCCATAAAGGACATAAATGTTTGTTTATTCCTTCCTTGAAAGTTCAAGATCACATTCTGAAAAATCAATCGAAGTTTCAAGATACTCTGTTGTAAATTCTGCATACCGTAATGAAATTACAAAATAACACAATTGATTCCAGGAGCAGACAAACCTGTGGTTGATGGTGTGAACATCAGTCTATATCATGAAAATTTGATGATACTACCTCAACCAGGTTGACCAGAACACTGAATCAGCCAGGTCACAGTGACATATCTGAGGGCAAACCTCTAAATCACGCAAGTCACAGTGACATATCTGAGGGCAAACCTCTAAATCATGCAGGTCACAGTGACATATCTGAGGGGCAGACCTCTAAATGAGCCAGGTCAAAGTGACATATCAAAGAGCAGACCTCTAAACGAGCCTGGAGGTCACAGTGACATATCTGAGGGCATATCACTAAATCAGCCAGTTCATAGTGACACATCGAAGGGCACATCTCTAAATCAGCCAGGTCACAGTGACACATCGAAGGGCAGACCTCTAAATCAGCCAGGTCACAGTGACACATCATGTGGCAGACCTCTAAATCAGCCAGGTCACAGTATCATATCAAAGGGCAAACCTCTATATCATCCAAGTCACAGTGACATATCAAAAGGCAGACCTCTAAATCATCCAGGTCACAGTGACATTTCTGGGGGCAGACCTATATATCAGCCAGTGACCGTGACATATTAAAGGGCAGACCTCTAAATGAGCCAGGTCACAGTGACATACTTACAACTGGTCATAGTGACATACCTGAGGACTGTATAGAGTCCAGGATAGTGAAGTATGTGTTGATCAGTTTTGACAGGAATTCTCTCTCGAACTGGACTTTTTTCCTTTTCTCTTCAGTCAGCTTCTGATCATTCTTTCTGATTGAGTTGAAGAACTTCTTGTATTTTGGATGAGCTTGGAAAAGTTCTTCCAGTCTGCCCTAAAAAACAATTAAATTTAACATATGTGAATGAAATGAGATTTCAAGCCATGTATACACTAGACACGGAAAAACGATGTCACGATACACCAACAACTGCATTTACACACTGCAGCGAGTTTGGGATTCAAACCTGGACTGCTATCTGCATACAGCTACCATACTATTTATGCAACTAAAATCAAAGAAAGGATATTTTTTATTCAGCGCTTTCACCAATAATTGTTTTTCAAAATAATCCAGTCAGGACCAGACTAACATGTTGACTGACATCAGAAGCACAGATCCATACTATTGGTGTATGATGACATACAATCATTCAAGTGTTTGAACCTGACTATGTAATCCATATGAGTGATTAAACCTAATTTTACACCACTTTTAGCAATATTCCAGCAATATCACGGCGGGGGACACCAGAAATGGGCTTTACACATTGTACCCATGTGGGGAATCAAACCCGGGTCTTCGGCATTATGAGCAAACACTTTAACCACTAGGCTACCCCACTGCCCCTACAGAAAACAGGTGTAGCAGGGGTAAATAACTGCCTAGTATAAATAAGCTTAAAATTTACTCGAACGTTGAAATAAGTTTGTTCTCAACCACTCTATTACTGAAAATGAAATAGACTAACTAAGGTTTTCACATGAAACCTTTGTCAACTTTCTAAGAATCCATGTTGCTACAGGCAAGTACATTATTATGTGATGGTGTGTAACAGTGAGAGGAATATCAACATGAAAATGAATATGTAACAGTGTAAATATCGTGGAACAATGTGGAAGTTTACCGGCAGCAGGTTGACCCAGATGGGGAGGGACACCAGTCTCTGGATCTGCTCACGGATCAGGTCGACCTCCTGCAACCATGGTAACAGTTGGTGAAGGTATTTTCTTCAAGGAAAACGCAACACACACTTTAAAGTTTTCAGATTTATTATGCTTGTACGGCATGTATCAGTTTGGACTGATGATAGTTTTATAGCCCAAGCCCACTGATGTACCACGCTGCAGTTGAAGAGAGCTGACACAAGAAACAGAGTTTTTTTAGTAAATAATTCAAAATCAGCTTAATGTTCATAACCATCACTTGTACGATGTTTGAAAACTATATTGAGTTTGCAAGTTGGTGCTCTAAATTTCTCCTGCTGATCTTCTAGTCTATATGATCTCTGAAGATTGATGAGTTTTTCCCATTAGCCTTAGTCAAGACTGAACTGATAGTTGTATACTTGCAGCCCACTGAGATACTGTGCCACAGTTTAACATGGGAGCCTACCAGACTGTTGAAGCAGTGGATGAGGAAGACCAGGAGGAGTGACTTCTCCTTCAGTGTAATGTCTCTCTCCTGTAGTGATGCCTCAAGCACCTGCTGGAAATACTCTGGGAAGTGTTCGGGCTTCTTCTTAAACACCTGGAAACAGAAGTGAGTGAGTGAGTTTTATGCTGATTTTAGCAACATTCCAGCAATATCACGGCGGGGACACCAGAAATGGCTTCACACATTTTGCCCATGTGGGGAATCGAACCCGAGTCTTTGGCGTGATGAACAGACACTTTAGCCTCAAGGCTACCCCAACGCCCTTGGAAACCAGGATGGTAGTACTGGAGAAATACCTCTCGTGAATATATAGTGACACAAGGTCAATCTTAATGTGACAATTTAACCTTTTCTGATTTTGCCAACCATTTTATACTCTACAGATTAAAGACACATCTGTAACTTTAAAGACACAAATACAAAAACACGAACAAATGTCACTGTTTTATAATATAAACATTGAAGTCCATAAAAAATGTCTGAGAAGACAGTACACCCCCTAACATCCCTGTCGGAAGTAATACAGTGCAAGTCCTCTAAACTGGCATTCGTTGGGACCTGAACAAATTGCTGGTATAGAGGGTGTCCCGGTTTAAAGAATTTCCCCTTTTCAACCTGAGAATGATCTTCCGTGTGCCATAACATACGACTGAACAACGTGCTGATAGTCATCATAATCTTTATTCATCATTGTGACATGACAATTAATTTAGAATACAAGTGACAAGTGTCACTCACCAATTTACCTCACCTGCTTAGGCCTAATCCTTATCCATACCCCATGTATCAGGCAACATCAATGAGCTTAATGCCGATGGTAATCCACTGTGTTGCTCATACACATTCAACCAATCAACAGGAGAGCCCGAGATACCGGATGCCAGTTTAGATAGCGTTAATTACTGTACAAACAGTCAATTAGGCGGTCTTTGTTGTGCCGAAATACGGAAGAGACTGACGCTGGATTTGAAGGCATGCAAATGATCATAAATTTACTAGCTTCTGCCGATACCAAATTCTAGTGCCGATATTGAGAGCATGCCGGATTGGAGGGCTGCCGGTTTAGAGGGCTTCCACTGTACCGTATATGACCGTCTATAAGCCGAATTTTGAGGACCAAAAAAAGCAGTCTGTAGAAGGGGGTCGTCTTATCCATGGGCTACGCTTTCGTCAAACTTATATATAATCAAAAATATAATACAGAATACCATTATTTAACTCAAAGAAATATATCCTAGCATTAAGATTACCGTGTGTATTTGAGCCGGAAATAGCAATCAGCTGTGCACACGTTTCCCAGCCAACGGGATGAATTCTGACACAGTCCTCAGTAAAATATAATACAGAATACTATTATTTAACCCAAAGAAATATATCCTAGCATTGTGTAATTTTATTTACAGTTTTTATGTAAAATATATATAATCAACACTAAGGTACGGACCCTCATGAACGTGGTAAGCACATGGAATGGGGTAAAATAAGGAAGCCATTTAAATTCACACATTTTTACCGATGTTACTGTAAACTAGCAGTCAATGGAAAACGAGGCGGTAATCAGTTAGTGATTGTTGAATGGGGTAAAATAAACAAGCCAGTTTGTTGCTACAATAAATATGATATTTAGAGAAGCAAAATATATTATGCATTTTCTGTCAACTACACTTCGTTTCGATCCGTGAGTAGACACAATATATATGACAGTGAATTCTTTGAATAATGTGGACCAAAGTTATAATTATTGGTAACTGCCAGTTGTCTGTGGTCTGTGTTTGCCGCGATTAGGACCCCATTGAGGGGGATCGACTTATGCACGAAACATACCATTTTGACACTGATTTTAAGGGTCAAGTTTGGGGGTCGTCTTATCCATGGGGTCGTCTTATAGACGGTCATATACGGTATATGTTTCTTTTACTGCAAAATTAGTAAACATCTTGATCTTTCAACAAACCTGGTACTTTAGCCCTTTTACCCTTTAAACCACCAAACCCAAATACCCTGATGCAAAATAACACAACGTGAACAGCAAATGCAAATACACATAAAAATCTATCATTTCAGAATTATGACTCTTTAGTCCTAAATAAAGTGACCACTTACCTCCCATGCTGGCACTCTTTCTCTTATCTTCTCATTCACGATGATTGCTATTGACATCATGTGGGCAGTGCTTGTCTGGAAATGACACAATACTATGTATGTATTTTACAACATTTACATTTGTTTTGAAATGTACCTGATACATTTATTGATGACTGCACGATGTATTCTTTCATTTCTTTTTGCATTGATGATGATTAAGTAGGTGTGAAAACATATTACTCTAAATAAGTTGATGTTCACATCACTGTAGTTAATCTTGCATGTCATCAACTGTAATCAAAACCTCCTGTTCTTAACATGATTACATTCTTTTGAGGTGAGGTGAGGGGAAATGGGTTTTAACGTTGCACTAAAAAATATTTTGCTCATATGACGACGTGCATGTGTGTGTATGTGTGGCTGCTTGCACTAGCCCAGACTAAAGCTAGTTTTATAGTGCTAGCTCACTGAGATACCATGCCGCAGTGAAGCATGAATACCCCATTCAGACACATTATACTGACTCCGAGCCGACCAGTCCTTGTTGTACCCATTAATGCCGAGCGCCAGACAGGGGCCAACAAGTACCATATTTTAACGTCATTCTTTGAGTAACACATTTTTCCCAAACAACCAGGATTCATAATGATAACATACTTTGAAGTCAGAACTCCATGTTTGCCTCATTCCGTTGTAATTTACCACCATGGAAGAACGTCAAAGAGGAATATAAATTGCTTTCTGGGTTTCAAATTTATTTTACTTTAGGAGCACTCTGAATTTGACATATCTGCTTTTGTTTGTAATCATAGAAATGAAAGTATCTTCTAAAAATAATAAAGCTTCTGTGAACTTGTAATGGATTTTAAACGTCAGAATATAGTACAATCTCACCTTTCAAACATGGTAATATGGTAAAATCTCACCTTTCAAAAATGGGAACGTAAAAAGATTCTCACCTTTCTGGGATCATAATTAGGCCACAGGTAATTCTCCAGGTATCGACTGGGAATATACAAAGAACAAACCATGAAAACAGATGGATATTATTCTAAAAAAGATCACAGTAGGTATGTTGAACAGAGAATTCTTTCAACACAATATACAAATAGCTTTCATTTTAAATTCATTCATATATATTTATGATGACACCTGTTACTACTTTGTGGAAAAAGTTTAACAATCTTTCTTGCATGACAATTCTACACCAGGTTCTTCAAACACCTTGAAATACATTGGGCGAATGTGGTGTAACAGTAAAGTATTTCTGCACAATTCACGGTCAAATGTTCCCAACTCTGAGCATTTAAACAAGTACTGCCAAGCAAGCATTGTGTAGATGACCAAACGCCTGTGTCCATCACTTTAACTTCATGATGACACATGATATTAAGCTAGACACATTGTCTACTGTATATTATAGGTGGTCTGTTTAGTACTCAGTGTCACAAAGTGGCCATATGTACTGGTATTGACAGGAGAAAAGTATACATTCAGATCTACAGGCGATGAAACAAATATGATAACCATGAAATTACTCACCTGAATTCCAACATCATTATACGTCTCGTGGAAAATCTGCAAAATAATTAAGCTGACTGACTGAGTTTAGTTTTACGCCGCTTTTAGCAATATTCCAGCAATATCACGGCGGGGGACGCAAAATAATTAAGAATGGTGTAAGCAATATCCCTTAGTTCTAGAGTATGGCTGCCACTTGCTATGTTCAATAAGACCCTTCCCTACGTAATGAAGGTTTCACCAGAAGCAAATTGTTGTGTCTTACTTCCACACTGCTACTGGATGAAATATATTTCAGACACAAAACAGACAATTCATGCTATTTGAATCATCAAAACTAATTCAAACTGTACATTGTATGTTATATATAAATGACATTTGTATTCTGATCAGTTATATAGTCAAAGTTTGGATTTCAGTGGTTGATTTATTTCAGTCAAACATTGATATCCTAATCTACAATACACTAATGACATCTGAGCATAAGCAATAAGATGCAACATAACAAGCAAATATATGCACATTTATGTTACAAGACAACCTTCAAAATAAAACGTTTAACCACCTACTGTCAACTGCTTACAGTATAAGTTTTGAAAATATTGCTTTGTTCATTATCATGCGTATAAAGAGAAATCCACTCTGCTACTGAGCACCGTATATGCTTGTGCTATAGATCTGTGGCCTTAGTTCTAAATAGAGACTGATCCACTCAGTAATATTTAAATACAATACGTATGTTACTCACTTGGAGGCAACAACTTCATTTTTGTAGAGATCTTCAACAATCTGAAAACAGGAGTGAGTGAGTTGGGTTTTACACCGCTTTTAGCAATATGCCAGCAATATCATGACGGGGGACACTAGAAATGGGCTTCACACATTGTACCCACGTGGGAAATCGAACCCGGGTCTTTGGCGTGACAAGCGAACGCTGTAACCACTAGGCTACCCCACTGCCCCTACAGAAAACAGGTGTAGCAGGGGTAAATAACTGCCCAGTATAAATAAGCTTAAAACAGGAATACAGATGTCAATAATGGCTATACTCACGATAATTTGGATTACTGACATCTGTATCGTGTTGACAGTTTCTATGTCATAGCTTGCCATACATATATACAACTGAAGAATGTTGAACATCTGAAAATTTAAATCTGACACCATTCCATGATGAACCCCATAGCTTTCTAAAACATACCATTTAACACATAAAAAAAAGTGTCATGATGAAAAGGGGCATGTTGCCTCAGTTACATTATATCTCAAGAATTGTCTACCTGTGGCTTAAATGTTGATCCTTCCTTCAAAGCCTGTTCAATCCAGTACTGACTGGCAACCTGCAAAAATAGAGTCAATCGTTTCACTCGAAGACGTGATTTACATACAATGGTAAAATGTTGGTATTTATCTATTAGACTCTGATATCTGGTTCCATGTATACTGCAAATATATTACTCATATGCAGTGTATGAAATAAGGTCCGTCCGACCGCACAAGACGGGTTGATTTCAGACGGACGCTCTAGATTTACAGCTAACCAGCCTGATGGTCTGGTAAGAATTTGAGATGTTATATACATCTGAGTCATATCTTGGTGCCTGGTCTTGTTAAATCTGGTTTGGACGGGTAACATTTTGAGTTACCAGCCCTGATGTCTGGCTGGGTTTTTGGCTTATTTCATACACTGTCATATGAAATAGTATCTATAGTATTGATCTATGATATCATAGTTGAACTGAGATGTAACATTATGAACTGATCTTCAGTTAAAGTTGTCGCTTTACCATGTTTATCATTGTTTACTATCACACTCAGGGGTGGAAATAACTTTAAAATTGATAGTATACTCCGGTACAGTGACACATGTAATGTCACTTGCCCTGATAATTTTTCCACTATACCGACCGTTTTCCTGCTGATTTTTTAAATACACAACATAATTAACATTGGAAAGTCAACTGGACATCGGTACAGTGTGATATACAAATTTGCTTGCCCGACAGAAAAAAGCACTGGACTCGGACGTCGGGCAATGGGTTATTTCCACCCCTGACACTGTACTGTTGACTACTCACCTGCATTATGGTGTCACCCTGGATCTGTTCCACTGTCAGGGACAGACTTTTCTTCCCACTGGGAGCACTCATGATGATAAGTTGTGTCAGTCAATTTGATCAAAACTGAAGGTGATAAACCTGAAAATTAATCATCATGTGTGTTACATTTATGGCAAAATATCAAAATATATTATTATTATTAACCAATCTTGATTATGTTGTCTAGACTTAATGATTTGGGTTTTAGCATTGTGTTTGCAGCTAGTAAATAAATCATTATATGAGTTTGGATGAAACAATACAATGATTGATGTTATAAACAATCCACTTTGTCAGGGTACAATGACACTCATTCATTGATGACATGCAGCAAAATAAAAGTGAACCATACACACTAAGTCAAAACTGTCAGTTTGATAGCCCTGGCACACTATAAATATCTAAAATTGTAAAAACTAAAATTCAAAATATTTGAAATTGTCTGGTGAAACGTAGAATTTAACAATACAATTATACAACAATTGTTGACAGGTGGACAGTTTTACAAAACATACTTACTCACTTGACTTGATGTATGTTGATTGTTTATGTAGAACAAAGCTTGAGAATAATCATAGTTAACCGGCTTTTTCTCTTCATAAAACGTTCTTCGCATGTGCCGGAAGTTGATTTCCGGAAGTCAACAAAAGAAGCAGAGGTACGAGAACATTGTTTCGTATAAAGTTGTTGGAGCCACCGTTTCGTAACAATTCCCGCGTGGCAAAGAAGACTGATAAATTGATAATGTATTGCCCTCTGTTTTTTAACCCTCCAACGTTATTGGATGGTTAAGAGAATGCATGCCGAATCTATTTTTGCTCCTGGCACTGTCCACAAAATCGGCAATAAAGTGCAATGAAAAGAATAAAAAATTCTAAATCAAGCCAAATGGCAGCAGAGTCCCTTTATTTTCGACTTCGCTTGTACTCTTCAGCTGGTTAAAGAACTAACTCTCCACATTCGTACGATGTAACCGCTGTCTAAATTGATGGAATTTAATCAACTGGGTTGAATTTACTCAGTCTAATATTATGCACCTCGTGTATATACGGGGCGGTGGGGTAACCTAGTGGTTAGACTACAAAACTCGTCTCTGAAATGAACATATTTTATGGAAAATAAAAGTTTTTAAATTAAAATTATATGTACAGTAAAAAGGAGCCCCAGAGACTTTCTTCATTTTCAGATCTAGACTTGCCACATGTTCTAGACTTGCGTGGGCTTTCTTGGATATATTTGCTTCAGGGTATGTATGACAGACTACCTATAATGGTTAAAGCGTTCGCTCGTCGCATCGGTTCTATACCCCACATGGACACGATGTGTGAAGCCCATTTCTGGCGTCCCCTGTCCTGATATTTCTAAAAGCGACTTTAAACTAAACTCGCTCAATCATACACGCATGCACCATACAGATGGCCCGAACAGGGTTTGACCTTAGCCCTGAAACGCTGCAGGTCCTAACAGGGAGACTATATTGTAGATGTTCCCTGGTCCTGAGGACCCACAACCATAAACAGTTGTGGGTCCTGATCAGAATGAGTATGCCCTATAGTTTAATATGGAAATAATACTCTTAGTTATTGGGGATGTAAAAGCTGTCGACCATAAGGACCTGCAGAAAACAAAAACCGTGGGCTTTGGGTCTGAGGACCGACGTTAATTTCGAACGCTGCGGCTCTTGAAATAAAACACACGTTTGAAATGAAGTCCGTGATCGGTAAAAACTAATTCCAATTAAGTAGTAAATATTTCCTTAGAGACCTCTAATGTATCTAATATATGTTGTTTCGCGTCCATCCCCAATAACTTGCATAACTCGATGATGATCATGGGTGGACCCAGGACTTCTGAAAGGAGAGGTTCAGGAGGTTCGAACTCCCTGAACCCCCCATTGGCTCCGCCAACGCAAAAAAAATCTTCAATGTGACATTAAGTCATTTTCCAAGGGGGCGTTCGAACAAAAAACAACCCCCGGATCCGCCACTGATGATCATGAAGGGTCAGGGTCACTGTCGCTCCAACGTGGCTTTCGGAGACGTTTCGATCGAGTCAGAGAGAGAGAGGTGGAGTGAAATGAGCATTATACGTACATAGCAAGTAATATATGCCAGCGTCCGTGTGTGTGTGTGTGTGTGTGCGTGCGTGTGCGCATCCTAGTCCGGACGAATGCAGATTTTAAACTGAGATATTGTATACTGACTGAGTAGGTCAGTCCTTATTATCCCACAATCCCTGGCGCCAGGCAAGGTAACAAGTACAATCTGTTGAGTGTTATGACGCGGCCGGGGATGGAACCACCACTACCACCACTACAATTCTAGATCTGCACACTACATCAATTAGGCGCTGCACCAAGGAGAGACAAGAAATCGTAAACAATCATCATGGAAGCGAATCACATGATTCACATCTTTACCATTCATCACACATGCACACTTCTCTAGCCTATCAACTGTAGACACTTTGAAACGTTTTTACTGTACAACATGACAAAATAACATGATATAATAACAGGCAACTTATAAATCTACTACTCAATACCAAAAGGATGCAATATTTCTTGCTGTCCCCATGTCGGGTTACTACTAAAATATTGCATCTTTTTAGCGGTCATTTAAGCACTCGTAAAATACTTTTTCTTGCAAGACGCACAGGCTGTTGGGACAATATCTACTGGCAAAAAACTGTTGAAATGAGGTGGAGAATGTAGGTTGACAGATTCAGCGTACAGTACAGTTACGCTGTTTGGCAAAAGAAAGATTTCGTTCATGTTTCAGACCTTAGATTTGCAATGTTTCGTTGATTGTTCTATTACGTTTGTCATTTTTTTGTCACATCCACTTTTTACGCGCAATCTGTATTTTTCCCGACACGTATAAACAGGAAAGAAACATGCACCAGTTACAGAACTGCAACAATATGTTACGACACCCAGTCCATGTTCCATACAATATAACGTATGTTTAGGATTCTTTAAATCGAAGTTGGTCTTAATCTAACCGTCCTATCCAATTAGGTGGTGACAACAACCTATGAATAATATTTGTTATAGTAACATACCTTCGATGTAGACAAGAATAAAAATGACAAAAATAAAAATCTGCGTGCCCCGGGATTCCTTCAATATTATACTGACTAAGGCAAGTATCCAGGCGTGTTCCAACGTAGAAATGGTATGAGGTTATATAATGTTTTGAGTGAGTCGCGTCACCAGAAAGTTATAACTGAATCAGGTATAAAACAGGGAATGGTCTCAAACAAAATCTGAAAACAAACAATATGAAAAATAGGAAATTCAAATAAAACAAATAAATAGAGGTTAATATCTATAAGTTTCAAAACCGCACGAATAAACCCTGTCAGAGATCGCGGTCTCTAACATTTATTCAGGCCTGAGTAATATACTGCCGGGCAACAGAAGTACACCATGCATTAGTGTTTGATGATGTTCAAAACTACAATATACGCGCAATAATAATTCGGTGTTGATATATATATATATATTTTACTTTCGTTTGCTGACTATTCAACGAAACTAACGCTGTATATATACTTTTGATTGTAACAAATAAACCCCTTTAAATTGAAAAGGAGCCCCAGGGAGACCTGAACCTGGGCAAATATTGACTTGCTTCAGTTAGGGATTTGGCATTGCAGGGAGGGCCAGGCTGTAGGGAAAAAAATCAGGGTTCAGGGACTGTGAGACAGACTAAGTATTCAACGTATTTAGTAACATACGTTTTCGTAACATTAAATGTTCCATTCGTTTGTCAAATCCAACTTTCAAATGTGTTCTTTTGGCCGGCAGTGTATTTATAAATCGAATTTGGTTTCCACGTCACTGTGTTAACCATCAAAGTGTTTATCAGTCTATGAAGTTTATTTACTTATGGATAGGTACTTTCGATATTAAAATCCCTGGAATATATGTACAGGGATGAAATTAACTTGTTTATTTATCTCAGTTGTTTATCGCGGCGTATTGCTTCATTCAGAGACCATATAATATTATATGGTCTCTGCTTCAATGAAATCATCTCATAGATTCGAGCAGTTTTGACTTATGTGAGATCGGTTACTGTTTATAGCGAATAGATCACGTGAATCACGTGTTTGTTATCTATTTCACTAGTAACAATAGGCTATACAGGTCTAATTTCGTTTGAAAAACACATCGTCTTTCTTTGTCGTACGACAGGTGCGACGATGCGTTACAACCAATGAAAATACTCGTGGTAAATAACGGCAGCTCTTGCTGTCCAATCGTATACGAGATAACAAACCAGTTGCCGGTGAATCTCATAGTCGGCATCACAACCGAAGATGGCGGATAGCGAGAACTCGGTAGAAATGGAGGGACTTTACCAGCCCCCAAACGAGCTTCAGAAAGATGCTCATGTCAAGAGCTTTGATCAGTATAAAGAAATGTACAAGAAGTCCGTTGAAGAGCCAGAAGAATTTTGGAAAGAGATTGCAAAGGAATTTTATTGGAAGTCGCCCCCCACTGGCCGGTTTCTTGAGTACAACTTCGACTATACACAAGGACCCATATCCATCAAATGGATGGAAGGAGCGAAAACTAACATCTGCTACAACGTGCTTGACAGAAACATCGAACGTGGTTTGGGAGACAAGATAGCATTTTATTGGTAAGACTGTCATACATGTTTTGTGTTTATATGTAGCATATATGAGTGCCAAATGAGCCAAGTGTTGACAGGGCCATCCAAACTTGTGACGTCACTGTGCCTTTGACGTAATATCGTGGAAATTGACGCATCTTCGATCGATGGGTGAAATATTCAAATGTTTACAATGCTTAAAAAAACAACTAGTTAGTGGTTGCTGTGATGTCCTTGGTGTACATTTCAACTGCAAGCGAACAATGTTTTCTTTGTTTATATTTTATTAAAGGACAACAGTGCATATGACTTCCACTCTGTTAAGAATTAACATGGTTACATTGTAAGTTTGTGTGCATATACAGGTAGATTCGTGTGTCTAAATAACGTGATAACATTGAAGGATATCCCCATTTAATCTGATAATCTACTTGTCCAAACATACTCAGGACACCAGGCTTGCCCTTTATTTGTTGTAAGAGGCATCTAATGGGATCGGGTGGTCAGACTCGCTGACTTGGTTGACACTTGTCAGTGTATCCCAGTTGTGTAGATCGGTGCTGATGCTGTTGATCACTGGATTGTCTGTGGTTCAGCCAGCTAAACGTCGTTTAGCTGGCTGAACTAGATTGTCTGGTTCAAACTCGATTATATACAGGCCACTGCAATATACCTGGAATATTGCTGAGTGCAGTATTAAATAACCAACCAACCTTAATTTGTTTATCATTTATGGTTGCAGTGAATAAGTGAATCAGTGGCAGTTATAGTTCAAAAACAATGTATAACAATGTCCAAAGAAAATAATTACAAAAGTAGCATGAGAAAATCTTCAGCATGTTTGACCCAGGTTGACAAAAATCTATTCTTTCTCAGTTAGATATATTGTCAACATGACCAATTCAAACTTAATTTTAAAAAAAGCCCACAAATAACAGAAACATCAATTTTGTGAAAAAAGTGTAAATGTTTACTGATTTCATGTTTATGTCAGCTTATTGTATTTACAATGCTGACTAGCTGTGCTAGCATGACTAATATTTTGTAGTAGTTACTAGTCCTTTTGACTAGTACCAAACAAAAAGAAGACACACAGCAGTCTTCCAAATCTTGTTACTGGCTTTTAGTGTATTTGACTGGACTTCCCTCATGATATCATTTTGAATAGGTTTTTGTCTTATATGACCATAAAGTCTTAAATTACCATGCTCAGACCAGACCAATTTTATTTCTTGTTTTATGGATTCGCTAGTCATATTTTTTCAAGAATAAGAAAAAGAATAATAATGAATTTTCCCCACTAAAAAAATAAATCCTACTGTTTGTATTGGCCAAAAATGTAAGTGTACAAGAGAGTCTCTTTTTACATTGTCATTTTTCATCCATATACACTTCATAAATTGCCACAAGTAAAATCCTTTTTGTACTGAAAAGGAACATTATTTTGACTGGTGAATCTTTCTCTCCCCCCTCTCTCTCTCTCTCTCTCTCTCTCTTCCTTCCTCTCTCTCTGTCCTCTCTCTCTCTCTCTCTCTCTTTCCCCCCCCCCCCCCTTAGGTTTCCTAAGAATAAAACAAGAAATAAGATTGGTCTGGCCTTATCAAATGAATCAAAAACCTACCCCACTCAGGCAAAATACCTAAGTGGCAAAGTTTGCAAACAGCTACTGCTCAGACATATAGTCTCTTTTCATCATATTTGCAAACACTGAGTTCTGTTGTCATGTCTTTGGTAGCCAAGGAACTCCAGTCAGCATATTATCTAATGAAGCCCATTCATATTGCAAGTTCATCAAAGGTTCACTACTTAATGTATTCAGTCGGGAGTATGGCTGAATAAGGCTGACATAAGCCAATCACATGGTCAGTGATATCCCTTGCTGTGATGACAGGCTTGTGACAGCTGTTGCATTATCTAACCCACAGTTATGGGAGTTTTAATCAATGTCCTGTTCCGATGTTTGAAGATAACAGGTTAGATAATTGTGAGATGTATATTATAATTACCAGATGTGTCTGTCACACAGTGACTGTTGTGACTTAAAATGAAAAAAAAAAATATGTCTCAATTTTTAAAAGCAGATCAAGGTTCCATTTAACCGAGATTCCATTCATAATGTTCATTAGAGTTTAGATACCAATAAGAGTCCAGTGTCTATTGGTCATCCTTAGAAATCACATTTTCAAAATATTTTGTGTCATATGAACAGCTGATCGATCATCGAGGCAGTGATAAATTGCTTTGGCAACAGTAACATGAACAAACGGGTGGAAAATCATGGCTTTAAATGTATATAATGCTAGGGCCCTCATAACAATGTTCAGGTGTGCAGTTTAAGTGTGCCAAAGAGAAAGCATTTTATCCATCTTCAAATTCAGTGAATTTCATTTTATCACAAGTGATGTGATAAGAAGTTATATTCTTTACTCAACTTGTTTGCACAGGTAGCCTTTCCAAAAAACATTCGCCACTGACCTCAAATCATATACATCCTTATTCTGCATGTTCTAAGTGTGCAATTACAATTTTAATCAAGCCATTAGCATGAGTAGCACTTTGAACTGAGAGATTTTTCCTATCATGTTAAGTCCTTGTTAACATTCAACCGACAGCATTGTGACTGCAGAAATAATCAGTTTTAAGAGATACATTTTTAGTCTCTAACCAGGTTTGTTCACGTTCGTGCACTAGACACAGTTTCAACTCCTCAGCCTAAACTTATTGGTGGACACATCAAGATGGACCTGCTTGAGTGATGAATGACAATCATGAGTATGTAGCTTATATTGTATGGCACCTCTCTACTGACCTTGACCTTGCTGCCCTGTGTCCACAATACCATTCATATAGTGCCCCCCGGCCAATGTTGGTATATTGTCCTATACGACAGTAAACAGTACACAATGTAGATCTGTAGTGTACACATTTATCATGCTGGTTTCTCTGAATGATGGATGAAGTGTTTACAGGGAGAGGTTGATATATAGGATGTGCTTATGTACTTACTAAGGTACTAAGCAGATGTCTAAACATGCGTACAGGAGTAAGTTATCAAGTCACTTTGTTTGGGAGTAAATGTACAAAATATTGTCACATCTCTATGTTTTCTATGTGGAAGAAGTTACTGTGTGTGTGATTTATCATTCTTCAAATTTCAAAATGTCTGTGAATATGTTGAATGTTGACCCGTTTGATAGAATCAACTCAATTTTTTTAAATGAGTTCAAGTCACCAGATAAAGGGGTCATTGTCGATGGTAAATGTGACAGTAATAGTCAAAAGTAATAGTTTTATGTAATAGATTTACATATGATGTATGTGACAATGTAAGTTTATTACCTTAAACAGGAGTCCTGACCTTAAAGTTTTGTTTTTCTTGAGTTGCACCATCCATGACATATAGATTCTATCACCTGTCTTGTATTGTCCATGTGCTATGCCAACAGAGTAAATTTTTTTAAAACATTTTGTCTGAAGAAGGTTTTGCTTATCTGTCAAATTAAAATTTTGCAAATAAAAAAAACACTAAAGGTAGCATGTATGGGAAACACAAACATCAGTTCTTCACACTATTACCCACTGGTTGTTCTGGCCCACAGGTAGTTTAGGCTATGAGCTCAAAGCATGGGCTGTAACAGCTGCTACCTTGGAACCTGATTGCTGTAGGTAATGCGTAAGCAAATTCTCATGGTTAAACAGAGTGCTCTCACTTCTTTGTCAGCTGGGGTCCTGCCTTTCAATTCAGGACATAATGGGGATAGTTCCATGGTTGAAGTACTGTGCTCTGTGACTTGGAACGACTTAGCTATTGAAGCCATCTCTCCTTTGTCAAACCTGTTTATAGTAGTAGCTGTTTTGGTTTCTTGTTTTCTTATACAGTTTACTGTTATGACTTGTTATATGGCTTGTGTTTACATGTTTTCTGAGCGTTAAAAACAACTGCCGACAACATGAACAACTTACTTATATCAAATTGTTCAACATAGCCACGTTTTACTTTGTTGCTGAGGAGAGCTATTTTTCTAGCACCAAATATAAAAGAGGACACCCACCTGCATGTTCTTCACCAAGGGAACTCCCTGCCTTTCTCAACTTGCATGATCAATCAAAACCTGTGGAAGTTATGTTTTTAACGTTATATTGTAAGTCTTACCTGAGTATTCTCTGCTTGTGAAAAGAGGTGACAAGAATGTTGATTCGGTGGTCACAATGTTTACTGGTAGTGAGTGAGTATGGCTTTACATTGCTTAAGCAATGTTCCAGCAAAATCATGGTTGGGGACACCAGAAATAAGCTTCTCAGATTGTACCCATTTGGGGAAACGAACCGGGGCCTTTGGCATGAGCGAAAGCTTTAACCACTAGGCTACACCCCCACCCAAGAATGTTAACCCCTGACAAGAATGTTAACTGGGTGGTCACAATGGTTACTGGTAGTGAGTACCCCCAGGTTAACATGTGATTGGGACTGGGGCCCCTGCAGCCTACACAGGTCATAAGTGGAGATTAAAACCACGGGGTAAACACGCTTGGTGACTTACATCCTTGTGACGTCATCATACACCAATAGCATAGGTCGTTGCTCACATTATGAATCACTGGATTCTATGGCCAAGTATTTTTTGTTCATTGTTTTCCCTTTCTTTTCTTTTTATTGACACAGCTTCAATACTTACAGCACTGGCACCATATTCCCACAGTATGAATACACAAAACATTGATACATCCTGTGACCATACAATGTTAACAGGCCTTATTTGTATAACAAGTACAAATTCTGCTGAATGCAACATTAAACAAAAAACACATACTCCCTGAACTCAAACTGATCTGTCACTGCACACACCACATAAGCTATGATAATGGGCTGTAATACAATCTGAACTGGATCTGCTCACTTTCCTAGAGAATTCTTAAGCCTTTGTATTTAGATTAAAATTTATTTGAAACATTTCTTTAGAAAACTTCAACAATGATCGCCTACATTCCTGCATGTCATGATATACTTTGTTGTTGACATGCTGTGTC